TAGACGAGGGTTAGGTGGGCGACTGGGAGAAACCACCTGAGGTTGGTTAGTTAAGAGCCATGGATGTTGACAGTGACATCACACACGCCGGGGGGTTGAGTTTTGAAATCCTGGTTACTGGATTGTGTTGTGTTTAGTGACGGTGACATGGATATTTGCTGTAATCCGACTGTTTGCATGCATCGCAAGAAGAACTCTTGAGGGTAGGGTTGCTCTTGGAAAACTGCAGCATCATCACACTGAAAAATTAATGAAGCATTCATTCCAGACCAAGTGCATGACTTCTATCTCTCCGATAAAATACTGTTAACTCATTTACAATTTAAAGATTATAAAGATAACGTGTCTTCAAAGAAATCCAGAATTAGTCAACATCTTCCGCTGTGAAGATATTTGTTGGAAATTATTAAAAGTTACGTAATGTAATCATTCCTATGGTTATTTTAGTGATAAATCTTGATTAGGCACAGAAGTGGCAGTTTTAGATGCCTTGGATAGTTGTCTTAATAAAATGAAATTGGAAGGTGTTTTGATTTCTTTATTTTGCAGGTAATGAAATTACCACCAAATGGAGATGACAGCTTTACGTTTCTTTTCTTTTCTTTCTTTCTTCCTTTCTCTCTCTCTTTTTTTCTCCCAGACAGTGTTTCTTTGTGGCTTTGGAGGCTGTCCTGGAAATAGCTCTTGTAGACCCAGGCTGGTCTCGAACTCACAGAGATATGCCTGCCTTTGCCTCCGGAGTGCTGGGATTAAAGGCATGCGCCACCACCGCCCAGCTAGCTTTATGTTTCTTTCTTTTTCTTTTCTTTTCTTTTCTTTCTTTCTTTTTTTTTTTTTTTTTTGAGGCAGGATTTTTCTGTGTAGCTTTGGAGTCTGACCTGGAACTCTGTACATCAGACTAGCCACCACCGCCCAGCTCTACTACCTTTCTTTTGGACTGAAAATATGAATTAATGTCTACATCAGGGCCAGGGGAATGGAAGGAAAATACAGGAAGGCCATTAAGAGCCAGTTTACCTGGAGCTCTGATTGTGAAAGGTGGGAAGACAAACCAAGCACAAACTGTTAATGAAAATAAAATTTGCTTGTGAGAAGCCATTTTTTTTTTTTTTGGTTTTTGTTTTTAATAAAGATTTGAAGCCCGGTGGTGGTGGCACAAGCCTTTAATCCCCGCACTGGGGAGGCAGAGGCAGGAGGATGTCTGTGAGTTCGAGACCAGCCTGGTTTACAGTTCCACGACAGCCTCCAAAGCCACAGAGAAACCCTGTCTCGAAAAACCAAAAAAAAAAAGATTTGAGATTTTTATGTGTGCATCTTCCATGTCATTGGCTAGTTGGTTGGCAAATAGGCCTAAGGTGGTGATGACCTAGAAATACATTGCTCTGTCTGGTAGCACGTATGAATGATATGGGTCTCATTTTCCTGGAAAAGGTTTATCTGTCCTTCAGCCCTCCAAATGCTAGGATGACAGGTGTTAACCACCAGGGGTAGCTGTCAAAACCCTAATGGAACTTGACCTACATTGAGAAGATTCAGTTTGGTGAAACTGAGGATGACAGGTGTTAACCACCAGGGGTAGCTGTCAAAACCCTAATGGAAGTTGACCTACATTGAGAAGATTCAGTTTGGTGAAACTGCCCCCCCCCCCATTAAAATACATTGTTCTCTTGTTCGAACTCTCTAAACTCATTTTATATGGGTTAAAAACAGCTTATATTCACATGCCGTAATAATATTTATAAAGTGCTTAGCTATATATTCATGTATAATAAACATATATTGAACATTCTGTCCTATGTCTGTTATGATTTCTAAGCTAAAATTAATAATAAATGGTGCACGTATATATCATATATTAGAGTGAAGACAGTGTTCACCTGTTTCATATCAGGCAAAAATCTCCTCCCTCAGAGTCTGTGAATTAAATGCTATTATTTTTATTTTCAGCTTACTGATGGAGAACAGGAAGGTTATTCAATCAACCTTCCACAACTAAACTGGTAGCCAATGATAGAAACAGGGTTCCAATCCAGACAGCTTAAATTGATGGCTCAGGTTCTTATCCAGGAAGCCCATGTAGGTGAGAGACAAGACCATGCCTTGCCAAGTTTCATTTGGTTTTAAAAGGTCACTTGCTTCCTCCTGATCTTGTACTGGTTCAATTACAAATGAGCAGCCTTGGCAGACTATTCGTAGCTTGACATCCTTGAGAAGACAAGAGTTCACAAAGAGGCCCGGAACTTTAACTTTTCCAGTGTCCTCCAATCCAATCTGTTCTTCAGCTTGTGGCAAACCTCATCAGCAGGATAAACAAATCTATACAAATGTTGCATCTAGACACAAAGTTAACAGAGGCCTTCTTTAATGCATAATGGAATGGTAGGCAGTGGAGACTTGGCTGTGTTTCATAAAAGCAAAAGCATTGTCAGGTGCTTATGTATTATTGGAGTCAGAGGCTTGGTATTATTAAAGGTCATTACTGTACTGTCCTGTTAGAGGTTTTGCAAAACAAGTGCTTTACACATAAGCCTTTGCAGGGAAAAGATGCTAAACAGCAAGTTTCTCATTTAGGAAGAATGCTTTTGACTTAGGTTCTGAGGATACTTTGGCATTTGAATTGTCTGTAGATTCTCTTTCACTGAGAACAGAGATGGATTCAGAAGACAATCCAAATGTTCAATTCCATTCGGTTGTTGAAGACCTGCAAAAAAGTTAGTGCTGCATAACTGACATTTAAGTTTAAATTAAATCTTTTTAAAATATTTATTTGTTGTGTGTGTGTGTGTGTGTGTGTGTGTGTGTGTGTGTATACATGCATATACAAACACACTCCTTTGTGACAATCAGAAAATAAATGTGAGACTTATTTTTCTCCTTCCTGCCATGTGGTTCTGAAGGTCAGTCTCTGGTCTTAAGCCTTGACAACAAACACCTCTTTACCTGCTGAGCACATGGGCCCAAACGTAAGTTTAGATTTAATTTGATCCAGTTACTAGAAACTTTTTACCAGTGTTTGAATATGTTAGTCATATGGATTTATTTTCTTCAGCTGTAAAGTTCATGAACTCTAAATACTGATGAAGTATTTCTGATGAAAATTTTGTATTAGTGTTAATATGTGCGTTAATGTTCATATACTAGGTTCCAGTCTGAAAAATGAAAGCTCTTAGCTCAGTAATTTTATCTTGTTCACATGCTGAAATATTTTGGGTGTCATTGAATTAAATAAAATATTAAATTTAATTTCATCCAGATTTTTCTCTTTAGGAATGTGGGTAATAGAAGCTATAGAAGCAAATATGTGGCATTCATGTTGACTGGTGATGCTGCTCTGTAATTTCACAGTAAGGAAGAAGTAGCAAGTACAACCTCTCACAGATACAGAAAGAATCACAGACTAACTGTACCTTTAGACAGAGAATATACCAAATAGTGAGCATATACTTTTAGTGTGTGGGTCTATGCACACAAATATACATGAATGCCCATATAAACATGTATGCATGTAAAATGTTACTTCATAGTAATTAAGTTGACTGTCTGGCTTAGGTAGATTGCACTTACAAAAGTGAACACTGAAATACAGCACCCGTTCTATTAGTATCTTAATTGTCTTACACTGAATTGACTGTTGGCTTAACTAAAAGCTGTAAAAATCAGTAAATGGAAAAATCAGTAAAATGTAAAACATTTTAAATTCTTCACGTAAGACATTGAGACATTATGAGTTGATGTGGCCTTTTCTGTTTCCTTTTTCTGAATGCAGACAAAAAAATTGTTACTTTTCCCCTTTCAAAAACCTTAGCTTGCAGAATTCCCCAAGGACTGCTCAACAATGGAGATTCAGAAAGGACCTTTACATTTTCGTATATGGCAACTAAATTTCTTTGGTTGGCTTTAGCAGGGCTCTGATATGGCTGAGTTTGGATTAGTGCATAACATCAAATTTGTTTTCTTTCTTTCTTTCTTTCTTCTTTCTTTCTTTCTTTTTTTTTTCTGCATCTGGGTTTTTCTCTGTAGTCCTGGCTGTTTGTGAATTCATTCTGTAGACCAGGCTGGCCTCATACTCAGAGCTCTGCCTTTCTCTGCTGCCCTAGTGCTGGGCTTAAAGGTGTGCACTACATGCCTGGCTCATTTATTTTTCACTTTGCTGTGTTCTCACTTTACTGAAGCTTTGATTGCTTTATTTATTTATTTATTTATTTATTTATTTATTTATTCTTTCATTGATTTGACAGTCTCACTATGTCGCTTTGGCTGGTTTGGAACTTTGTAGACCAGGCCAGCCTTGAACTCAGAGTGCCACCCACCTAATTACATTAGCCTCTTCCTCTTGGGTACCAGGATTAAAGGCACTCGCCACTACACATGGCCTGAACCACTTATTTCTCAGCTGACCTAAGGGCTGGGTTGGACAATTGCCCTATACTTTTCCTCTGCTTCCCTCACACTGAGGTGACAACCCAAAGCTATGAAGATCCTAAGGTCTTTTTGTGCGCCATCTGTTAAATGTGACTGTTGCCACTGCTGCTGATGCCTCTGGAGTGACAGGAAAGAACTGTTTAAAACTTCAAACTTGTCTTTTCCAATAATCTGTCCAGTTAAATTTCTTTTGATACTGAGGAAAATTTCTAGGTTTTTATCTCTCTACTTCAGTTATGATAACAATGAATATTTTGCCAGGCTGTGGTGGCACATGCCTTTAATCCAATCATTTGGGAGGCTGAGGCAGGTGGATCTCTGTGAGTTTGAGGCCAGCCTGGTCTACAGATCAAATTCCAGGACAGGCTCCAAAGCAACACAGTTTGTCCCGGAAAAGTAAAACAAAACAAAAATAGAATAAACAACACAAACTAAAAAAAATGAAAGACAGTCGCTGTGATTAAGGTTTCTAATTTCTTTCTTTTTTTTTTTTTAAAATAACCTTTGAAAAGTTCATGTGTTGCTCACAAACAGTTGACATCATATTTTGGTTCTAAAGGTGCCTCATGGAAAAATTGAGTCCCCTAGTCTTGTCTGCTAGGAGGACATTATCTGTAAGATATTCTCCTTGATACAATGAGCATCTCCCTTGTATGTCTTTGGATTAGGCATTGAAAGAAATGAAAGGGAAGAGGTCTTTAAAAGAGAAAAGGTGAAATGTGTTCAAAGTCAATGAAACTGTTTATTTATAAAACATGAATTAATTCTTTCCTTTCAAATATGGGTTAATACCTCTCCTCCTTTGTGGTGATAAACACAATGACCAAAAATAACTTGGGAAGGAAAGGGTTTATTTGACCTTATCCATCCTGGTCACAGTCTCTTATTGAGGAAAGTGAGGGCAGGAACTCAAGCGTGAACAGAGACAGGAACTATGGAGGAAAAGTGCTTCCTTATATACTCCAGGGCAGGCTGTGGAGGGGTAGCACCATTCACAGTGTTCTGGGCCCTCCCATATCTATCATTAATTAATGCCCTACAGACATGCCCACAGACCAGTCTGCTGGAGGCATTTCTTCATTTGAGGTTCTTTATTCCCAGGTGACGCTGGAGTTTGTGTAAAGTTGACAAAAACTAACCAGTGTGTAAGTGTGAAAGGTATGGTGGAACAAGTTTATTGTTTAGAATGGCATGGGATTTCAGGTTTCATATTTAATTATCACTGCTACTTGTACTCCTGCCATCTGATTTGCTAATTGGTCACTATCCTAATGCATAATTATGGGGTAGTGAATGTGTACTAGGGCTTTCAGTTTTAGTGACATCATGAAAACAGAAATTACCCTGGAGGTTAATATTATAATCTCCTCTTTCAGTTCTCATCAGTTTTTCCTCCAAATAATGTAATTATTCATTATTATGGATGGTCTTCTCCAAGATATACAATGTGCTGGTCATATTTACTCTCTGATTTAAAAATTACTTTATGTCGAAATCATTCATGGTCTGGCATCATCCAAGCTACAGATTAGGAAGCAAGATGCATACTGGTTAAAAAGCAATATATACTATATATCATTAGAACAATTTTAATCATAAGCAGCAAATTTGCTGGCATTTTAGTATCCCATAGTGGCAGTTTTTTTTCAAGCAAAGACAGTCAGTCAAAGCATTATGAAATGTTGTTGAATGTTTAAGAATTACATTAAAATCCACTTGTTTCTTAAAAATAATTGAAATTTTATGTTAAACATAATTTTGGTATTCCTAGAATTATTGGCAAAATGGATTTTAAAACAGAAAGCCCCCATCAAGAGGATCGATGCTCAGGGCCATTTATTTATTCAGAGAGTTAACAGTGGAGGCCCTGAGATGTAGATGTACAGAGGTCATTCATAATTTAACCTCAGGGATAATCTATCTGGATGACTGTTCAACTCCATCCTCTGCTTCCGTAAGAGGAAAGAACAAGAAAAAAATTCAGCTGTGGATAAGGAAAAGTAAGATTCATGGGCCCACTCAATGGTGAAAAATCCCAGGGCAGACCAAGATTTGTTCCTTGCTCTTGGATTAGACATCCTTCTCAACTTTGGAAAGCTATGTCTGTGACTTGGCATGAAAGTGTCACAGATCTCTGAATATGATGAAGAAATTATATATTTACATGTATCATATAATGTCTAGAATATTATGTACGTATTTCAGAGTAGATGTTCCCATTTTTTGACACAGCTACAAAGTCAGCCAGTGTTCTAAGTCAGAGAGACTTTTCTTCCAATGAGCAGAATTCCGAGGCTGTAGGAAGGAAAAGTTATAGTCCATTATGGTGTGCTGACGTGGTAAAGAACATCTCTGTCCTCCACAGTA